TAAATTTAAATTTATCAATTAACTCAATTTCAGGCCATTTGAAATTCTAATACGTAACAACCAATACATACATCCTGGTGTTTTGTCAATGGTTATTCGAATACATAGATGACCATCAGTAAGATAATCGTCTAGCTCTGTTTTCATAGCAATTATCGTATTTTGGAACAACTAGTCGAAATTTGGCACTACTAGCACCGATGCGTAAGAACATCTTACAAGTACTTTAAATTTTATATCTTATCATTATTTTACAAGAATGTATGATTTGACAAATGAGATTTCACACATTTTGTCTCGGAGAGTTAAACAAATTAAAGTTAATTTTATGTTGTTTTAACATTCGATATTATTTACCTGGCTAATAAATATTATATCAGTATAGAAAATATTTTCAGATTTTCATTTTTTTGTTTTACTATCGATGTATTCCAGTTGATAATATTACAGGGTCGCCGTCTGTTGAGAAATTTATGAAGATAGAGAACGCTCTACTTTCAAAAATACAGTGAACTACTGTATTTGAACTTTAATTACAAATGAACCTGCTTCGGAGATCGAATGTTTAAGCGGCTTAAAGATGATATAGGTAATTTGATTCTTAGGCTTATCGCTGTATCTGTTATTTACGTTACAACAGTATTTTTCATCTATATTGTAAATTTATAGTATAAATTACAAGCTAGCTGAAAAATACACTATAATTTATAAATTACACTTTATAGTAAAAATTATAATGCCCTCTCAATAATGATATTAGTATTAGTATTAATATTACAATAAGTATTATTAGTATTACTGAATATTAGTATGTCAGTTTTGTTAATGATATTATTAATACTAATAGGAATAATAGTAGTGCATTGGTTTGAGATGTGGTTGTATTTTACTTTTAGTTTTACAGATTCGATTTGGAACGGTAAATGGGAAATTGGGAATAAACAAATTGGTGGCATAGCTAGAGCACAGAGGAGGTTGAAAAAAAGGATATAGAGGATAAGATAAGTCATTGTTTTATAACGTATGAACAACAACAGTTTTGGGCTGACCTTGCATACCCAGCTTTGAGAAAATTCTGAAAATATAATAAGAGAAATGGATTTCTGAAGTGCAAACTTCCACTCTGCTGATAATGATAGTAACGACAACTGATTCCACATGCTAATCACCCACCCTATTAAAAATTTAAAATGTGTTAGTTAGACTTGGAGCCTAACCTGTCTTTTCAAATTATGTCTTCTCTTACTATAATCTATGGAATATAAGTGCAAACAAATCAGAAACCTTTATCCTATCCACTCTATTTATCTAGTAGTAACAGTGTTAGAAATTTTTTGTCATATGATTCTGTTATGACTTGTTGAAAGCTGTAGTTGATGTCACAGTAAAGAAGAATTGTACACAACTTTCGTTATAACTGAATTCTTTTGTGGTTTGCTTGAAACTTATTTTTAATATCTGATTGACCCTCCTTGTTCTTGTTTACATTGAGTAGGTTATTAAACGTATATAATAGAAACTAGTCTCTCCAAATATAAAGATTCAGTATTTTCAAAACATTTGTAAAAATACTCAAATATGTAGCATTAAAAAACAACCCTTCACAGGAAGTGATGGAAAAACAATGAAACTAGATTAATATATAAAAGAAAAGTAAAACATTTATGTCCCACTTTTTTTGCCTAAAAGAACAGTTAAGTTGGAGGTAGTTTCTGTGTGTTTTTACATTTGAGAACCTGTATTTCATAGGTTCACTGATATGTTTTTCTTTTAGGCCAGGATCCACTCAGCCAAAATGTCTATATTTTATGATGGACTGGAAAATGCTTCCTATACTAAGCAGACCTCAATTTTATGTTAGTTTGTTATCTCAAGGGTAATAATTAATGGGCCTGCTCAACCATTTCAATTGTGAACACATTGCAATCACAGTTTGAACATAGGTACCCTGTCTTTAAATTGGTATCACTTAGTTTTCAAAAACTCTATAACTACAGCAAAATTGATGAAAATCAGCTGCTATGCACCAGACAGGGGAAGGCATAGGTGGTCTGTCTTGTGATGATCTCATTTTTTGCCTCTTATGAAGTTAAAAGTTGAAAATGGAGGCAAATTAGACAAAAACAAGCAATAAAATTGCTTCAAAATAAAAAACTAAGTGGTATAAATGAATTGTTCGCTCTGCTAAAGACTTGTTTTCAGAATAAAATCTTTGTTCTTGCTCAATTGGAATATTCAAAACAATATGAAAACAAATCTGACATAGGTATGAATGCCCATTATTCCATAATCTTGATTCAAACACAAATATTGTCACATTAAATTAGAGCAACTTGTGATATGTAGTGCTTTCCATGCAAAAAACTGAAATAGAGTAAAAGGAGCACTGCCTGTTGAATATGTTGTAGAAATTCTAATAAATTTGATCTGCAGTTTGATAAACAGCCACTCAATTTCTGAATAAAATTATTTTCATTGTATTTATTAAGTTATGCTGTTAACTATCTATTATCGAAAATGACCATAGTTATGTATATTAGTTATGATTCATAACATACCTGTCATTACATAATACACAAAAGCTTAAAAAAAGTATTGCAAAAGGAAATAATTATCAGATTTGATCCACTTTGATTTTACACTGAATGTTGCCTGTTGCCTTATATCTAATCCCAGTTGTTTACTTATCATTAGTCCCTATATTGATGGACAAGCCATCTAAGCCACCAGCAACAAAAGTGAAGCAGAAACAACTGCTCTTGTGGTTTTAAAGTTTTTTCAGTTGTGAATGAATTGTAGAAACAACATTAAAGAAAGACAACAAACAACTCCAGAGCGATGTTTATTTTACGTGACATATTGGCTTATGCTCTTAAAGAAGCTCTTTTGATTCAATCCAGACATCATTCTGTTAACAGCAGGGGACAAAATAGTTGGGTGAATTTATTAGCTAATCGGTATTGAATTTGATTAGCAATTAGCAAATATTGTAAGTAAAGTATGTAAATCATTGTGAATTATAGCATGTGTTTAAGTTAAAGTGACTGTGGAAATTCTGTGTATTGCAAAGTTGTATTGAGGAAGAATAAACTAGTTTTATTTAAGAAAGGACTTGTATCGCTGAAGTTCCTCGTGAAGAATTTTTACTGGAAATTAACAAACGACCAGAGACATAACAAATTGGTGTCTAAGAGTGGGACTGAAAAAAAAGAAAGAAAAAGAAGATGGAAACGAGAAGTGGCAAACCAAACTACAGCTTAGCAGATTTGATGGCAGCAATACAAGAACAGCAAAGGAAACAAGAAGAACGAGAAAAGAAACAAGAAGAGAGACTACAGCAGTGGCAACTGGAACAAGAAGTACAAATGGAAAACTTTGGTAAATTTCAAAGTGAATTAAATACATTAAAGGATGATTTACTGCCTTTTACACAAAGAGGATATATTAGCCATGGACCTAATCAGCCTCAAACAACAGGAAGCCATTTCCAGACCCTGCAGCTAAACCCTAATGCAGACATCTTCAGTCCTGTCAGAAGTCACATTCCAGACATGAGTGTCAGTAATAGGGGTGATCTAGTACGAAGGAAGCCACAGGAATTCGATGGGAAGGCACTGTGGAAAGCATATAGAACAAAATTTGAGCTCCTGGCAGAAATGAATGTATGGACAGAGGAGCAGAAAGCAGCATATCTGGCAACGAGCTTGAAGGGACAACCACTGGAAATACGTGGACAGTTATCAGCAGATGACAGGTACAACTATAGAGCACTGGTAGCATATTAGGGTTGGATTACTTACAACCGAGGAAGTGTGTAGTTAACTTCGATAAAATGACGATGAGGAACAACAAAGGCCAAATTCCAGTAAGTGTTGCATCTGTTGATTTGCATGTCACAGCACTCAAGTCAACTACAATACCCCCTATGTCAGAGAAGATAATTTGGGGTAGAATAAAAGAACATCCCCAAGGAAGCCCAATGCTTGTGGAAACAGTGGAAGACCCATCCAGGCCAGCAGATGTGAGGATTGGAAGGTCACTTGTGGCAGGTAATCAAGTAGTACCCATAACAGTGGCCAATTTCTCTAAATGTGAGCAGACAGTCAATGTTAATGCAAGAAATACGACCATAAAGAAAGGACATTCTCTCCCAGAACATTTAACTGACGTCTATAAGAAGAGTATAGTCCATTTGTCATCATCACAGGCAATCACCGTGCAATAAAGATCCCTCCGAGGAGAATAGCTTCAGTAAAGCGACAAGAGATGGAGAAGGTCATGGATGGCCTAACTAAAGGAGGAATAGTCGAGAAATCAGATAGTCTGTGGTCAGCTCCTGTCGTGTTAGTCCAGAAGAAGGATGG